GGGTTCTTCCTCTCTTTACATGAATAAGGTATAAGAAGGGATTGTGCCCTGTATAAATAAATGGTCCTCCACCCAATTTTGAACTTCAGGGAATTTTCTTCACTTAATGCCACATTTCTTCTCAGGGCAGAAACCCCATCTCTGAAATCCAGACTGGGCCTTTCCCTCAAGGTAAGAGCACCAAAAGGGGCAGCACAATTGTGCTGAGAGCCTACAAGGCACCGGTTTCTCCACAGACCATTATAATCAACTGCCTACAAAGAGCTTCCTTTGGCTGTGCCCTGGTGTGTTCAGTACAGAACTCAACATCTTCTCAAATTCCTCCACACCCCCCAGTGAGTTCTTCTGTGTCCTAGAATGAGTGATTCACAAACACTGGTCCACAGACTGACTTCAAGAGTATCATCTGGGACAACTTATTAAAAACAGACCCTTACCTTCCACTGCGACCTTTTGAATAAGATGTCTTAGGCTAAAGCCCAGGAATCTGAATTTTTGACAAGCATCTCAGGTGATTCTAATATGCTCCCAGATTTGGGAAGCACTGCTCTTTATGGCCAAATGGCACCACCAGGTTGTTGAAGCCCAAAACTGGGTGTCATCATATACAGCAGGTCTAAAAGGGGAAATACTCAAAGAGAAGTGGAGCAGACTACTTATCCAGTTTAGGATGCAAAAAATTGCCATCAGCATGTCTAGGCCGTGTTGCCTCCCCTTTGTCTCCTTTGATAGCAATTTTATGGCTCTTAGATGTTTGGCTTTTCCTTTTCTAGGAAGAGAACCATCTATGGGGTACTCCACAGTCTCAAATTTTCCTTTGAGAGGACTAGTAGTGGTATCACTGGGATTTTTTTTTTTAATCTTCTCCATAACTGGTCTTTTGCATTAGTGTGAGACTTCTAAAGGTTCATAATAAAGCCCCACAGACCCCTGGGAACAAATATCACTACTAACCAGTCCCCAGAACAAACCTCTCTGTTGAAGTTGAAGACCTCCTGACTTCTGAAGACTAATTTACGTGCTCCATCGAGGGTGTCCCTCATGCCATAGGACATGATATAACTGCTTTTGTATGATGTTTCTCTCAGCTAGATTTTAGGCCTCCTGAACTTAGCTGTACCACCCAGATTCCTGGATAGACAGCATGGTGTCACGGATCTGGTAGATCATAGAGAATCTGCTTCGACTTCTGATGTTCAAGCCAGGATGGGGATTCTTTCTCATGAATGTTTTCAAGTGGATTCTTGCAGAAAGGCTCAATTCCATCAGAAAGGAGTAGGAAGAAAAGGCATCCCAAAGACAGGGATGGTTTAATTGCCTAGTGTGATCCTTCAGAGCAGGAATCCAGCCTCAGCTGGTAGGCTCCTGGCCTTGCCCTCTTCTTTGGCCTCACTCTGATGGCATTACCATATGGGCCAAGAGATAGCCTCCACCCTGGGCCAGTCAAAGGTAAGCCTGATGGCATGGACATTAAGGGCACCCAGAGCCAAAGTCTAGGCAGACACAAATCAGTTATAGAAATACACACATTTATGCAAACATTATCACAAAATCTAATGTATTCTAGAAGATACTGGTGCATACTACCTCAAAGGCTATTTTTTTTTTTTTTAACAAAAACCACCCTGATAGCATTTCAAAGACTTTGGACAGATTTTTTTCTCCCTGGAACTGGGGATTGAACACAGGACCTCATGCATGCTAGGCAAGTGCTCCACCACCGAGCTTCACCCCAGCCCTTTAAGGACTTTGAGAAGATGAGCATTTCCTCATTATGAAGCATCACAAAGTATCTAGATGGAAGTACAAACACTGGCCACAGAGTTTCACTAAGGTTTTTTAAACCCAAAGTAGGCATTTCCCTATTGAAACCTTTAAAAAGGGGTAATGAGATTTTTATCAGGTTGAGTTATACCCGGGATCAAATAAGCTTTTGAGCTTGACTGTTTTCCTATAGAGTCTGCCATTTCTTGGTAACCCATGTTCAAGATCCAAGTAACCAACTCATAAGCAAACTTCTGAGTCAAGGACTTTCTTTTTTTTTAAGTTGTAAAATGCTTTCTCCTCTGGATATTTTCACCATTGCAAAAAGATTTCTTATAAGTATCCAACAAAGAGCAAACAGAATAAATGAACAATATTTGAAGACTGGGCACAAAATTGACTTCTAATAATTTCAGATGAGTAACTCAGGATAAGAATACACTTTTCTGGTAATTCTTTAAAAGAGACTAAATTTGCATCTACATAGAAGGGTTTAAGTAGGACCTGGGTAAAAAGGATACCCTCTACCCTCAAGGTTCTCAAGTTCAGCCAGATCAGCTTTCTGCCCTTCTTAGAAGAGACAAGCTCCTGGGCATTTATTTCCGCAGGTGTCTCTCCCAGGCCTTCAGGCTGTCTGAGCTCCTGATGTAATATCCCACACACACATCCAGACCCCCAGCAACTTAGTGAAACCTCCAGATACTTTGTGATGCTTCATAATGAGGAAATGCTCATCTTCCCAAAGTCCTTGAAGGGCTGGGATGAAGCTCAGTGGTGGAGCACTTGCCTAGCATGCATGAGGCCCTGTGTTCATTCTCCAGTCCCAGAGGGAAAAAAATAAAAATAAAAACTGTCCAAAGTCCTTGAAATGCTATCAGGGTGGTGCAGGGGCAGGGGAGCTATCTGTTGCCAAGAGGCTCTATTCCTGTAGCATCAAAGAGGTTTATAAGGTATTTTCAAAGTAGCATTCATTTGTGCAAACAATTTAAGAAGGCAGATGTGGCAGGAGTATATTGAATTTTCATTGTGCTCTCTTAATTTACAATCCTATTATAATTATTAGAAATGTGAAATTGGAATGTATAATTTATCCATCAGCAGCATATGGGTTTTGAATTAGTGGAGCTTATGTGGTTCCTTTAAGTCATCTCAGATCAGAATAGTGCGGCTCAGTTATATTTTATTACTGAAGCAATATATTCATTAGCAATAATACTTACAATAAAAATCAGGAACTATAGTTCCCTATAATAGAAAGACAGCACAGAGACAAAACAGTTCCTAGAATTGAGAAGACCCAACTCAAATCCCCACTCTTCCTACCTCTCCTCTATTCTGGGCAGATGGGCATAATCCCCTGGTCTAAATCTCAAAATTACCAAGCCTGAAGCTTAGGAATGTCCCACTCTTATTTCCCTTAGGTTTTGTGGCTGTTGTTCCTGTTTTTTTTTTCAATATTAATATATGAAAGTTGGGCATGGTGGTACATAGTTGTAATCCTAGTGAACTAAGAGGCTGAGACAGGAGGATTGCAAATTTGAGGTCAGCTTCAGCAACTTAGTGAGACCTCCAGCAACTTAGTGTCTCAAAAATTAAAAAGGGTTGGGGATGGAGCTCACTGGGAGAGTATCCCTGGGTTCAATCCCCAGGATTGCAAAAAATAATAATAATAGTAATAATAACCTAGTAGCCAAAAGAATAAATGCAGGGCTGGGGCTTGAACTAAAGTCTTGTCTAAACAAGACAAACATTGATCTTACACACCCAGCCCTCTCCAAATGTTTTTTTTGGGGGGAGGGAGGGCGGTACCAGGATCCCTATAACATGTCCCCTGTGACATGCCATGTAGGTACTTTGGGGTGACCTAAGGTGCACACTTCAGGGTAAGCAGGGCTGGTGGAGAATAGACCCTGATCCTCTCCTGCACCATCATGTAGAAGGCCATCTATCCTGTACAGGATGGAGGACACTGGCCACAGAGGTTTCGCTAAATTTTTTTAAACCCAAAGTAGGCATTTCCCTACTGAAATGTTTAAAAAGGGGTAATGAGATTTTTATCAAATTGAGTTACACCTAGAATCACATAAGCTCATCTCCTCCTCCTGGCTGAGCACCTGCTGCCCCATCCCTCCCTTTGTTCCTGGAGGGGAGGAACCAGAAAAACCTTGTGTGGTCCTATGGTATGGCACAGGGTGCCAACAAGGAAACGCTGGCCGATCTTATCCTCCAGAGGGACAGATGCAGGCACTGAAGGGAATGGGTGAGAGGTGGCTCTACGGCTGGTCCCCCGAAGGTGGTGATGACAGTGATCTGAATGCGACGATTTCCATGGTGGACGTATAATTATGCAGAATGTAAGTGGTCTTATGGAAACACTAACTTGTTTAGGGTAGAATCTGGCTCCTTAGTCACCTGGAGTCATTAAGTCTGATATTATGATATTCTCTGTTTACTCCAGAGTAGCCCAGGACAAGCTGCTTAATGCCTCTGAGCCTGGGTACCTCATCTGCAAATTGGTGTTCATAAGCTCTGAATTATTGTATGGAGTGAATCACATGACTCATAGGTGGCCGGTGGAGTGCCTGGCACAGGCTCTCTCCAACAATTGGTGGCTACTATTACTATTTACAACAGAATTGCCAAAATGCAAATGAGAGCAACAAATTTTTCTTACATGTCTTATCTAAACACATTTCTGATGATAGAGGTGATGTCAAAGCATATTCTGAGTCCTCAATTCCCACCTGCAGAGCTTGACCCAAAGTTCTAAACATGGTATGTGCCATGAATTGAATATGGCTTGTTCCCTCTGAAACTCTTTTTGAAATTGAATCTTCATTAAGACATATTAAGAGTTGGGACCAGAAGGGACCTTTAAGAGGTGATTGGGTCTTTGCCTTTGTGAAAGGATTAACCCATTCCTGTGATTAATGGATTCATGGGTTAATGGGTCATCTTGAGAGTAGATCTGCTATCACAGTCAGTTTGGCTAGGTCTCCTGTGCACTCCCTTTCTCTGGCCATGTGATCCCTTAGCTACCTTGGGACCCTGCCAGCAAGAAGACCGTCAGCAGATGCAGCCCCTTGACCTTGGACCAGAACTCTGAGTCAAAATAAACCTTCTTTCTATATAACCTCCCAAGTCTGTGGGATGGTTTTGGTAGCAACAGGAAATGGACTAAGATAATAGGTGTTGGGAAGAACTTAAGTTGAAATGGCCTGAATGAGCACTCTTACCGGATCATTCGGTTCTTTCAGGGGTATTTCAGACCCAGGTTCTCCCTCGAGGCTGACAGAATCGACGCACTCTGCTAGTGTGTCCTCGGTCACTTCTCCATTGAGGGAGGTCTCCGTGGTATCTGCATCTTTGGGCTGTTGTGGGTGCCCAGCAGCAGCAGTCTCTGCGACCTGATCAGCTGCATCCTCACGCACGTCTCCTCTGGGCTCCCCTGGTGCCAGCTTGTTTGAGACTGTAGCTGAGTCACTGTGCACTTCCGCATCCTCAGGTAAAGAATCACTACTGGAAATCTTCGTAATTTCTTCTCTGTCTGTAGTGGCTACGGTGTCACTGGCATCATCAGACATTTTAATATCTGTCAACACAATTACCAACAAACATTTTATGCTTTGATCTGAATTGTTAAGCTTTCATCCAAAGCCCTGAAAACCCAATTAAATCTGGGGTAAACTTTTTTCTACTGATAAATGGCTTTATGGAATCTTGTAGCAAGCTGACGACACTCAGTTCCTAATCCCTGAACCTGTGCACGTTGCCTTACATGGTAAAAGGAATCTGCAGATGTGATTAGTTAAGGATCATGAGATGGGGAGATCATCTTGGTTTACCAGAATGGGCCCTAAGTGTTGCCACAAATGTCCTCAACATAGGGAGGCTGGACTACAAAGAGAAGGGGCAATGACAGGAGCAGAGATTCAAGTGATACATTTTGAAAATGAAGGAAGGAGCCACACACCAAGCAACAAGGGAAGCCACTAGAAGCTGAAGAAGACAAGGAAGCCATTCTTCCCTCCACGACTCCATGGAACCAGCCCTGCTGGCACCATGATTTGAGTCAGAAGAAACTAATTTCAGACTTCTGACCTCTAGAACAGCAAGAGAACAAACCTGTGTTGGTACAAGCCACTAAATTTGTTGCAATTTGATACAGCAGCAATAGAAAACTAATATATAGCCCTATCTTTAAACCTGTAAGGATTTCTTACTTGGCATGAAGAGATCAGCATATGGAAACTAAGCATATTGTGCATAAAATTATTTGTTTAATCTGACTTTGGTAGAAAACAATGAGAGCAGCATAGAAAATATTTGGGAACTTATAAGAATATATTTGTCATATAGCTTTGCAATGTCATCAGAGATTAACAAGAAAGAGACATACATACACATAAATGTACACTGCTGGGGCCATTGTTGGGGAAGGTTTGGACTCTCACTGGACAGTAGTTCAGTCAGGGAAACACAAGGATGAAAGGGAAAGGGATTTGTGATATGAAGTCAAATAAGGAATGCAGGCTATCATGTGGAGAGCTCTTTTGGAAAGTTTTGAATTCGTGTAGGATGGTAGGACTCTCCTCTTATCCCTACTAAGAAAGTTCATGTAGAACTTTCCATGACAACATGATTTCTTTGTGCATGCACTGTCCAATGTGGCAATTAACAAGAGGCTACTGAGCACTTGAAATGTGGCTAGTGCAGTAGAGGAGCTAAAATTTTCATTTTATTTAATTTTTCAATCATTGAACTTTAAATTTACATAGGCACACACAGCTACTTTCTAAGGTAGCGTAGCTTGAGAAGGTTGGTGCAGGACCATCATTTGCTTAGGCAAGAATAAAGACATGGTGTTTTTATTGCATTTGAAGCCAATCTCAGGCAAATCATTGGGCGTTTTTGTTGACTTCAGTGTTTACCAACTGGTCAGATCTCAAGTGGCTACTAAACTCACACATGTGAGAAGCCATATAACGCACTGGCCACATCGTGTGCAGGTTTACTCACAGGGCTCTGCTTCCCTCCTGTTCCTCAAATAGTCACCCCATGAGTCTGTCTCATCCTTTCTATTGCGCCTTCTTCCTGGGTGGGTCACATCTCTGACAGTTTTCATGCACCATTTCTCTGTGGTGGCTCTCAATTATATCTTCTTCCTCCATTCCATAGAGATGGAAAGATTTGTGAAGGGGATGAATGGAGGGGGATGAGGCGTGACCGCCAACAGGTATGAAGTCTCTCTTGGGGTTGATGAAATGTTCTAAAATTAGATGGTGGTAATGGCTGTACAATTATGTACACATAATAAAAACCACTGAGCTGAATACTTTTATATGGGTGAACTTTGGAGTATATAAATTATATTTCAACAATGCTTCTATTTAAATAAAAACTCTACCTCCAGACAAGTATTTCTAATGGCAGGCTGGACATCTCTTTCTGCCCAGGGAAACCTACTGTCTTACTCTTAATCCGGATCTTCTTGTCTTTTGTATTTCCCTTAACAACACCTAGATTTCCCCCAACAATCCAGACTTAAAATCTCAACACTGTCACTGATTAAACCTTCACCTTCTCAAGAATATATAATATCAATAACTAACATTTACCAAGTACCTACTATAGCCAGGACATTTAAATGTATTTTCTCCTGCAAGTAAGATATGATGAGCTCCATTTTACAGATGAAGAAAATGAGGCTAGATGCCATACTTGTACAAGATGAATTTCAAGTTTGAACCCACATCTGATTTTAAGAGTGAATCCATCAGAGTCCTATCCTCAGTACTGCCTGATCCTTCCCTGACTTTCAACCAATGGCATACACACACACACACACACACACACACACACACTCATGTACATGTCTGTAAAGGCCCAGATAAAACAACTGCCTCCTCCATTCTTTGTTCCTCCAAGTTGGATTGAATTTTTCTTTTTTTGGAACCCCTAGCATGCTTTGTGTCTACCCCACCTTTAATCAAGTCCTCTCTGATTAAAAGTTGCTTGTGGTGTTCTTTTTTCCTATTATATTGTAACTTCTATGAAGTCAGGGTCTTCCTTGTTTTGTTTTCATATTTTACATAGTACTTAAACACTTTTTTTTGCTTATAGTGGGAATCTCAACAAATACGACTGTTGAGTTATATTAATATTCGTGTCAAGATACTCGGAGGCTCCCTTACATCTGATGGTTCCAAATGATTCTACAATTCCACACTGTCTTACTTTTTTGTTCCTTTACCTCACAGTTAACTGAGAGTGTTCTCAGCTTGCTGTCATTTTAACAAATTCCTGAGATAACAGACTTATAAAGAGGAAAGGTTGATTCTGGTTCATAGTTTGAGTTTTCAGTCCATGATTTGTTGGCCCTGTTGCTCTTGGGCTCACGGTGAGGTCCTGCGTGATGACAGGAGCACACGGTAGAGCAAAACCAGAAATACCTGCCAGATCCTGAGTTAAGAGACAAGACTCCTGCATATAAACCTCCAGGTAGGAAAGGCAAGGGATGCTTACTCCCTCCAGCTGAAATAACAAGTCTAAAGTATGCAAGGATGGCCATGGGTTATCAAGGAATCTGCTCAAAGTCTAGTTGAAACAGTGGAGTGATACACACCCACTGGGCAGATAAGGGGTGCAACTGAGGTTTCTGGAGCAAATGGAACTAAATGGAGGCTGGCAGTGGGGTGGGGATTTGAAAAGTTGTCATTTGGAAGCTGAGAGCATCTTTGTGAAAACCTCTTTCTGAGTGAGGAACGGCCTAGGACAGGGGATAGGAAATCCAGAACCTAACTGCCAAATCTTGCCTTCTGCCTGCTTTAGAAATGAAATTTTATTGAACAGAGATGTGCCCTTTTGTTCAATAGTTAGGGCTTCTCCAGGACTACAGTAGCCGAGGGGGGGGGGGGGGGGCGGTCCATCAAAGACCCTAAGGCCTGCGAAGCCACAAAGCCTAAATATTTTCTCTGGCCTGTTATAGAATATGTTCGCTGGCCCCTGGCCCAGGGGATTACCTGCCTGATACAGAGTAAAGATTTCTCTGTCTTAATCTGTCCTATCCTCACCTAGGTTCTAGGGCCATGACCTTAAGAACCCCATGAATAAATGGCACTTTGACATCCACCACTTTTATTTCCTTTTTCTTCTGTAGTTGGCCATAGACATTATCTGATATTGTTTTCTTTGTAAAGTGATATTTTTTATTTATTCACTTATCCTATTGGGGATTGAACCCAGAACCATTCTACCACTTTGAGACAGGGACTTGTTAAATTGCCCAGGCTGGCCTTTAACTTGCAAACCTCCTGCCTCAGCCTCCTGAGCTGCTGGGATTACAGGAGTGGGCCATCATGCATACCGTAATAATATGAACTATTAAGAAACTCCAATCTATTTCACTTTTCTAAGAGAATAAACCTGGCTGATAAACATTCATGGGCAAATAAACACCATAATGACACTTTGATGTACATGTTTTGTCCTAATGCATTGTCATACTGTTCCTAATGTATTCTAAAATACTTCAGCTATACCATGTGACATAGTGCAAGTTAATTAGTTCTAATTTACACCCTAAGGGTGTCTGGTTAACATGGAAAGTGCTCTACTCAGGAATATACTCTTGAGAGGCCTTTAGTGAGCATTTCAAAATCTATAATTGGGTGTCCACCTCTGGAGAGGGTTCAATACTGTCCTTTCTGATTGGTGCTCCAGGGTATGCTAATTAGCACAACAGTCTTAGAAATCTCTCTCTCTTTTTTTTTTCTTTTCCACTTACGAAATGGAAAGTGCTTAAGATATATGGATCAGTGAGAAACAATGTACTGGTCCCTCTGCCCTTCTGTGACCAGAGCATACAATTATACTAAGTCCAGTAGCCTGTGGCCCTTTGGAATAGGGTTTTTCGGGTGCTTCTAGCTGACCACAGAACTCAAGAGCCTGAAACTGAGTAAAATGTTGTCTAAGTCCGTCCTCTAGACAGAGGCCTAAAAGACACTGAGCTATGACTTCAAGCCAACAAGAACAGGCTGTATAACTAAGTCTGGTTGCTAATATACACATGAATACAGAACCTCCCCGTTAGGGAGATGGAAGCCATGTTCCTGGTCTTGATGTTAAGAGGACTCAACCCATGGAACTGATAGCCCTCGCCTACCTCTGATGACCAACGTGTACATCTCAGAAAGACCAGATTTTTACACGTGTTTAATAGGGATAGTCACCATGAGATCAGCCCTATTTGGACTTCTAACTGCGTGTATTTCTAATTTGTATTTGCTTCTACCTGTATGGTTGTAATTTTCCCTAAACCAAAACCAGAAAAAAAAAAGTGAGAAAGAAGCAAATGCTCTTTTAAAATGTATTTGTTCTGAGAGAACTTTATTGACTCTGGATGCTATTGTGATGGGGAAAATGTAATCATTTTTAAGACTGTGGCCTTCTAAGACACCACTAGAAATTGTGTGCTATAAGTGCACAGCTGTATTCTGAGCATGGACTGGGAGAGTCCATCAGGACTTCAGTGGTGACACTGGACATTTTTGGGGATGACCCTCATCTCTGTCTCGATGCCCTATAAAGTATACAGTCAGAAATCTTTCCTGATTTCTGGTTTGGAACATTCGCTCTGCAGCCGTGTCCGTGGCTTTAATGCTAGGGAGACTCAACCCACAGGAACAAGGAGGCTGCTTCAGGAAACTCCAAGGAGATGAAGCGTGGGGTACAAAGAAGCCTTTGTGTGCTGGGAATAAGTTAGTTTTTCATGAGCAAATTCATTCATCACCTAAAATGCTCCTAGAACTATCCAAGGTATTGGAGCTGCAACCACGGCTCCCCCCAAGTAAATGTAAAACAAGCGACATGGTCACTGTCTTTCAGAAATGAATAATCTGTTTGAGGAGCTAAAACAAAACAGCTAAAAAGTGATGCAAAACAGCATATCAAAGGAAGGAAAAAAGATACCTGAACTAGACTGACCTCATGCAAAGGAGAATCTTGAAAGTGGCTTTGATAAGGTTATTTGAGAGTGGGAGGGTAAGAGCATGTGCAAATGCCCAGCATTCAGGAATGAGCTCTGGACATTCAGGAGAGATATCTGTGGAGTCAGTACAAGAGGCTGCACAAAGGAATAGTGAGGGGTGGGAGGGATGGGATTCAGACGTGGAAAGAGCAGGGCCCTGTCAGAGTCACAAGTTGTGGCCTCTGGTTGCAAAGTTCCTTTGTAGGCAAACAACTCACTCATCCTTACTGGGCTTCCTCCCTTCCTCCTCTGCAAAGTAAGATGGACAAGATGATATGAATATTTTGTTCCCAACCCTGACTGCAGAACTGGCCCCTGATGACAGAGAGAAATGAGGACAAGATTTTGAGTTTTTAATAAATCTAAATTTATTAAACATAAAGCTCTGGCTTCGTCCTGCAAGTTTAGCTTTTGTGCTTTTATAGGTACTATGATGTCTCTCCTTTTATGAAAAAGTGGTGACAGTGGATAGATTTTTTTTTAAAAGTCCTCGCTTGGCAAAATAAAAATGTGGTAACATGATATTCTGTATGAGGTCACCTCTCCCAGTTAAAAAAAAATAAAAAAAGTACTAGTTAGTGAAGGACCAGGAATAAAACTTCTGGATGAGAGTATTTGAGTCCCTGTGCAGCTTGAAAAGTACATTATCATGTGCCCAGACCCCAGACCAGTCTCCATGTGTCTGCCAGACATTTTTTTGGAACATAGGCAATACCTACTTGCCCCTTTGTTTAAAATCTATTAGGTGTGAGCACCTTGGGACAGCACCAGTGGCCTTTGTAACCAAGCTCTGTTCACTCAGTCTCCTGCATTTCTCAACATAACCTCCATCCCTGCTGCACCTGACCTCTTTGCCCATCATTGGTCATGAACCCTGCCTTTGCTCATGCCATTCCTCGCCTGGGCTGCCCTGCCTCCACCTTCCTTGGCAAACTCCTGTGCCCATAGATACCCAATGTCCCACATCACATTTTACTTTGAAATTTTCCTTAATCTGTCCCCACTCCTTCCAGAAAGTTAATTTCTTCTATTCCTATGTTTTCATGATACTTTGCACAGACTTCTACTCCTAAAGTATTTGTTTCTACATCATTCTCACCTCTAGGACTGGGACCAATAGCAATTCATTGTTTCTTACCCACAAATATTTACCAAACTGAAATATACTGTGCTTGATACCATTTTAAAAGAAGTAATGTTTCATATAAACCTGGCATTATAAATGACTAAGCATCTGGCCTGAATTCTGAATATTCAGGAAATCCTCCTCCCACCTACAAATTCCTTCTTCACTGGTTCACTTGTGCCTCAAATTCTCTAAAGTTTAATTCTTTTGCTTAAGGCTTACAACGTAAGAAGTTAATAAAAAGGAGAAAGGAGCCTTTAGGTATATGGGTGGGGTTCTGAGAGGGCCACTGGGAGGAAGCAAGAGCAGTCAGAGCCTCTGAGGATAAAAAGCCTGGTTCACTCTCAGTTACCACGGGTTGTCTGAGGTCTTATGGAGTTCAAGACACTGATTTAAAAAGCTACTTGCTGGTACCCTTCAAGATGTTCAGGATGGGAACTGATGGGGTCAACAGGGCATAGATACCGTTCTCACCGCCCATAGAGAGAGAGAGATGTCTTCCTATTCCAGGAAAAGGCAGTGAAATTCAGGAGCCTGATGGGATGCGCTGGAAATACTCACCGGATTCCAGGGAGAAGGTGAGACGAACGGGTGGAGGGAGTTGGATTGAGGGATAGGGACCCAAGCCTGGGGCTGTGATGCTCAGAGGTTTGACAGGGCGACAGAGCTAGCAGGGCGCGGGTCTGCAGGGGAGGGGGCACAGGCTTGGGTGGGAGGTCAAGGCCTGGGCTTGGCTTTCGGAGGCCAAGGGTACGCGCACCCCAGGGAGGCCCTTGCCTTACAGGGACCTGCTCCTTCTGTCCCCGGGCTGCGAGGACCCTGCACCCTGCCTCTGACTTGGACCTGGGACACGGGGGAAACTTTTCAGACTTGCCTGGTGCCAAGTGGATACTTTGGGAGGACTAGGCAGGCTCCACGGGTGTTCACGGTGGCCGAGGGGGCAGACCCGGCGTGCGGGCGTGTGGGTGTGTGCATGAGCGTGGACCCGGAGCGACACACACACTCACACACACACACTCACACGCCCGCACCCACGCAGGGCCCTCGGCCGCGCAGACCCAGACTCCCTGGACCTTCACCCCCAAGCCGGCTCCTCCCCGGCCGCGCGCCGGGTGCCAAGTCCCCGCCGAAGGCTTCTCACTAACGCAGAGGGCAGGATTCAGGGGGCTTGGGACAAGGAGCCACGGCAGGGGCTCCCCACCACCCGCTGCAGCTGCCGGCGATCCCCCGCCCACCGGGGGAAGGGGATGGGAAGAGAGTGCCCGGGGCTCTTACCGCTCAGGCGGCCGGGTGCGCGCGGGAGCGCCCGCCGGTCCCGCCCCGCCACGTCGGCAGGGCCAGCGGGGACGCGGCCGGAGGGCGGGCGGGGCGGGGCGCGGGGTGGGGCGGGCGAGCTGCCCCGCCCGCGGCCGGGGGAGAGGGTCCCGCCCTCTGCGCCCCCGGCCCCGCCCCTCCGGACCCCCGGCCCCCGGGTCCCCTGGCCCCCGAGGGGCTGCGCGGGGCCATCCTTCGGGGCAACTTTTCTAGTCTGTGCGCTCCGGTACACGACGGGCTTCGGGTTCGCGGGATCCCCCGCTGTCCCTTTAACACACACCCGGAAAGCCTCGCAGTTCACCCGTAAGGAGTTACCCTGGTTGTGATTTTCTGGTTCTGTGTTGAACTGATTTTCCTGACCTTGTCGGTGGAATGTGCTGTGATTTTAAAAAACAAACAACAACAACAAAATCCCCTCCTGATAGAAGCCCGTTTGGAAATGTGAATCAAACCCCCAAATGCATTAACTTTGGCCTAGAAAGTCCACATTTGTCCTAAGTAAACAAAGGGGGAAACATGGGTGTGCAAGGGTCTTTATTGTGGCTACTTAGGCCAGAGAAAACGGGAAGGCCTGGGGTTGCCCCACTATGAGGGATTGGTGAAATACACTACAGTAACTTCAAACAGTCAGATATGTTGTAGCAGTTAAAACTTATAACAGCATCAAGGAAGTAAGGCCATGCAGTAAGGCCTTCTTCAATGTATGGCTAAATATTAAGTTGGGGGGCAGGGGCTGCAAACAAAGTGTATGTCCCATATGAACTATGTTTGTAAATATACATGTAGATATAAAATGTGCATGTATACATGCTGTGTGTGAAAGCCAGGGAAAACAATTTAGAAACAGGGGCTTTCTGAGAGGTTTATTTAAAGCCAGTTTTCTCCTCTTCAACCCTAAACTCTTTTCTTGTAAAAATTATAAATTCAGAATTAAAGAAAAATGCTAAGAGCCTTTCTCTCACCCCTTCAATATCACTACCATTTTTAATAGTGCATGGATCCTACTGTAGTTTTTCTAAGCTTGTATACACATATATATACAAAGATAGTTTTAAAATGGCAAGATATTGACATTTTGTAACTTTTTCCTGCTTATCTATTATTGTCCTCTTCATATGTATCCTAAGATGCCTGTTATATTTTGTAATATGTTTGTATCACAGTTTATTTAGTTATTTCCCTACTGATGAGCAAAGCAGGTCATTTCTAGCTCCTTCCTTATATTTTCCATATAAAATTTTTAAAAAATTAAGCTAATTAATATTTATTCTCTTTATATTCATAGAAAAAGTAAAAAGTTACCTTAATGTGATGGGTTTGTGGAAACTGCTTCCAATTACTGGCAACTTTTTTGAATTAAGCCACTACTTAGAATCCTAATTGTTAACTGACACCTGTTCTTTGGTTTTTCTGCCTCTAAATAGAATAGAGAACATGCTCTGAACCTCCCACTTCAGTTCTGAACCCGTGAGTAATATGGAACTGGGTTGCAAGTGTGACAGGCGGGTTTCTGTTCACCTAGACTGACACATCCATGTCATGATTTCTGCACCTGCCTAGAGATAGCAGACACTTCTGCTACACCTGCCTTACAGCCTGGCCACTGGCCAGAGCCCAGTCACGGGTTCAATTTTTAAAAAATTTTTAGTTGTAGATGAACATACAGTGTCTTCATTTATTTTTATGTGGTGCTGAAGATCAAACCCAGTGCCTCACACATTTGAGGCAAGCACTTTACCACTGAGCTATAGCCCCAGTCCCACACGTTCCATTTTTAAAGGGCTGGTTTCCTTTTCTCCTTGACTCAAACTACACCTGTTCAGTAAAGAATATCAGCCAAACAACCCTAGCAACAAGGACTTTTGTTTGTTTGTTTTCTGGTTATTTTGCCAACTGCAAATTATGCCTTTTCACTCAAATTTAGCTGCTTCCAGGCCTACCAGGTTTTATTTCAGATATTTTAATTTTTGCAATTTAAATTTTTGGCTGGGTTATGGCTCAGTGGTAGAGTGCTTGCCTAGCACATGTGAGGTGCTGGGTTCAATCCTCAGCATCACATAAAAAATAAATAAAATAAAGGTATTGTGTTCAACTACAACTAAATATATATATATGTGTGTGTGTGTGTGTGTGTAAAATTAAATACTTTGGAGTGTTTCAAACAATTGGAAAAGTGAAGGATTATATGAAAAATACTTATTTGTGTAAAAAAAAAGTAGAGAATACTGTGATGATGCTTGAATTTAACAAATTTTTACCTCTTTAATTTAGAACCTTCTTTTAAAAGAAAAACAGGTTGCAGGTATACTCGAAAGCCTGCCCCTTCCATTGTCCACTGTCCTTGAAGGTAACCACTGTCCTGAAGTGGTTGTCTATCCCTTACCCCCATATTTATATGCATTTACTGCATAAATCCTTACCCATAATTGTATGTAGAATTGTTTTTCAATAATTTTAAATTTTACAAATAACATTCTATACATTATGTCTTTAGACTTAACATTATGTTTTAAGAATCACTCATGTTCATACATGTAGCTAGCTCTAGGACATTCATTTCAACATCTTTGTAGGATTCCATTCCATGCCCCAATGTATCCATTTCCAAACCGATGGACATTTAGTGTGTTTCATATTTCACTCAATTACAGATAATGCTGCAGGTACATCTTTGTACATATTTTCTTATATCCCAAGCTAACAATGCAATGGCTGTATCCCTTTACTAGACATTGCCCAGTTGCCCTTCAGTGTGGTTCAATCATTTATTCAATACAGAAACATGTTGATATTACCCAGCCATAAAGAAAAATGAAATTATGGCATTTGCCGGTACATGAATGGAACTGGATACTATCATGCTAAGAGAAATAAGTCAATCCTCCCAAAACAAAGGCTGAATAAGTGTTCTCCCTAATATGTGGATGCTAACACAACAAGGTACTTCAGTAGGGAATTGGATTTATACTTTGAGAAGGGTCTCCTTACAGCTTTTGAGTAGGAACATGCTGTGATTCTTTTGTCTGAGTCTGGTTGGGTTAGGATGAAATGGAGTTGAATGGGTAGAGGTAAGTGTAGAGACAGGGAGGTCAGTTGGGAGGCCAATGCAGTTGTTCATGTGGGAGATAGATGGCTTTAACTACCATAGAAGTAGCATGAGAGGTGTTTTCCTTATGTATATATTTCAAAGAAACTCCAACACAATTTGATCATAGGTTAGATGTAGACTTTGAGCAAAAGAGATAGGTGCTACTACACCAAGGATTTTGGCCTAAGCTACTGGGATAATAGAAATATCATTTGTGAGATGAAGAAGGAGTTTAAAGTTGTGAGAATTCAATATTCAGGTTAGTGAGAGTTTAGGAAGCAGTTGGATGTAAGAGGAGTTTAGGGAAGAAGTCTGGGCTGGAGACATAATCAGGGAAACATCAACAAATAGATGTTTCGATGCTATGGACCAGGATGAGAGTGCATGGAGTTAGAGAAAAGATGTCCACAACTGAGCCTTGGATGTTTCATGTCAGTGAAATAAGGAAGACTCAGAAGGAGACTGGGGAGGAGTGCCCGTGAATGTGTAGAGAAATCATGGATGGGGGGATAGTGGGAAGGGAGAAGATGGGGTCCAAGAAGCGGAGAAAGAAAACTTTTCAAGACCTTTTCAATGGTGTATAAATGCCTCTGCAGCTCAAATGCGATGAAAATTGAGAATTGAGCGTTGAATTTGGCAATGTGGCAGTCATTGGTGACATTGAAAAGAGCTATTTCTCTTGGGTGGCAGGGAAGGAACCCTGATTGGAGTAGATTTGGAGTAGATTTAAAAGAATGGGGTGGGGCGGATAATTAGAGATGGGGTTAAACAATTCTTTCAAGGAGTTCTGGTGTAAAGAGGGAGCAAGGAAGAGGAGGTTGTGGGTTAAAAGGAGGATTTTTTTTTTAAATGAGAGAAATTGTAGCATTACATGCTGATTGGAAATACTACATTAGAGACAAAAAAAAGGTGTTGAAGAAGAGAGAGGACAGTTACGAGAGTGAGTGCCTTGATTAGATAAGCTAGAGAGCAATCCAGGGCTCAGGGGAAGGATGGGCTCTTGACATAGAGAGTTCATTCAGAAGGACAGATGAAAGTGCAGTTAGAACAAGTGCAGGTGGAGAACAGAGTTTGGGGGAGGGATGTGGACATGTCTGCTGGTGACATTGGTTTTCTTGAGGAAAAGGAAGCATCATGATCTGAGAAGGAGCAAGAGAAGGAGCTATGGGGAGTTGACAAGAGAGGAGGAGGTGTGAGTGGGAGAGGAGAGAGAGGGGATTGGGGGGTGGCAGGAAGGCTGGAAGGTTGCCGTTCCTTCTTGAGGTTGGCACCCAGTCATGCATTGCAGGTGAGACAAGCAGCATGGGTGAGTGTATGTTTCCTCCAACTCTGTTCATCCACTGGAGCTCAGTGTAGTCCAGAGGAATATTGGACTTAACCTGGGTTGAGAAGAGAGAAAGAAGGTAGCTGAGATCAAATGCAGAGAAATGACTAAAGGGATCAATCAAGCATGATGTTTCAGACCAGTGCAGTGAGTTTGGGGAGCTGCTGGCAAGACAGAAAAACTCAGAGTGGGACAGTGGCAACTGATTATGGACTGGGTGTAGTCATTGGTCATAACAGTAGCTAGGATATAATCAGGGAAAGCCTGGCCGGGCAAGGTCAGGACAAGATAATTGGAAGTGAGATTATCTAAGAACTGAGAGGCCGGGGGAAAGGAAAAATCATGACATAGCTACCAAAATACATAGAATTATGAAAGGGGTGATATTGGACTTAGACAGAAAGTGTCGCTAAAGTACTCGAGAAGAATGGGGCTCAGTAATGATTGCAACCAGAAGGGGTGAGGTTTTAAGGGCTGTAGAGAGAAATAGTGATTTGGAATCAGGGACACCGTCTCCTGGCCCTGAGCTATGAAGTGTGCATTCGAGAAAACGGGTACCACTAGAGGGCGCTGTGCTCAG